ACTAGGCTGTGTCCAATCATCACCTGAGACGGACTAGTCATCATATCGGTGAACTTCTTCAGGTTGATCGTATCTACTATACGACTCATGTTCGACCTTTCGGTCTCTTTTGTTCCGAGGCCATGTCTGTACATGCTAGGCTCGTCAAGTCAACCTAAGTGTTTTGCATGTGTAAATCTGGCTTACACCCGTTGTATGTGAACGTTAGAATCTATCACACCCGATCATCACGTGCTGCTTCGAAACAACGAACTTTCGCAACGATGCACAGTTAGGGGGAACACTTTCTTGAAATTTTAATGAGGGATCATCTTATTTATGCTACCGTCGTTCTAAGCAAATAAGATGTAGACATGACAAACATCACATGCAAGTCATAGAGTGACATGATATGGCCAATATCATCTCGCGCCTTTGATCTTCATCTTTGAGGCGCGGCATGATCACCTTCATTACCGACATGACACCATGATCTCCATCATCATGTATTCATGAAGTTGTCTCGCCAACTATTACTTCTACTACTATGGCTAACGGTTAGCAATAAAGTAAAGTAATTACATGGCGTTTTCAATGACACGCAGGTCATACAATAAATTAAGACAACTCCTATGGCTCCTGCCGGTTGTCATACTTCATCGACATGCAAGTCGTGATTCCTATTACAAGAACATGATCAATCTCATACATCATATATCATTCATCATATTCTTTTTGGCCATATCACATCACATAGCATACCCTGCAAAACCAAGTTAGACGTCCTCTAATTGTTGTTGCATGTTTTACGTGGCTGCTATGGGTTTCTAGCAAGAACATTTCTTACCTACACAAAAGCCACAACGGTGATATGAAAATTGCTATTTACTCTTCATAAGGACCCTTTTCATCGAATCCGATCCGACTAAAGTGGGAGAGACTGGCACCCGCTAGCCACCTTTATGCAACAAGTGCATGTCATTCGGTGGAACCTGTCTCACGTAAGTGTACGTGTAAGGTCGGTCCGGGTCGCTTCATCCCACAATACCGCCGAAACAAGATAGGACTAGTAATGGTAAGCATATTGAACAAATCATCGCCCACAACTACTTTGTGTTCTACTCGTGCATAGAATCTACGCATAGACCTAGCTCATGATGCCACTGTTGGGGAACATAGTAGAAATTCAAAATTTTCTACGCATCACCAAGATCAATCTATGGAGATTCTAGCAACAAGAGAGGGAGAGGATGATCATCTTCATACCCTTGAAGATCGCTAAGCGGAAGCATTACAAGAATGCGGATGATGGAGTCGTACTCGCGGCGATTCAAATCGCGGAAGATGCGATCTAGCGCCGAACGGACGGTGCCTCCGCGTTCAACACACGTACAACCTGGGGACGTCTCCTCCTTCTTGATCCAGCAAGGGGAGAGGAGAAGTTGAGGGAGAGCTCCGGCAGCACGACGGCGTGGTGGTGGTGGAGCTCGTGGTTCTCTAGCAGGGCTTCGCCAAGCACTACGGAGGAGGAGGAGGTGTTGGAGGAGGGAGAGGGCTGTGCTAGGGGAATGGTGCAGCTGCCCTCTCTCTCCCTCACTATATATAGGGGGAAGGGGGTTGGAGGAGGTGTCGTAGGGTTCCCTAGGGGATGGGTGGCGGCCACAAGGGAAACCCTAGATGGGTTTGGGCGCCCCCACCCCTAGGAAACTTGCCCCCCAAGCCGGGAGGGGCGGCTGCCCTAGGGGAGGCGCCCCACCTCTCCACGTTAAGGGGTTGGGAGGGGCGCACAACCCCTTAGTGGGCTGGTGTGCCCCCTCCCCTTGGCCCATAAGGCCCCCAACGCTTGTCGGGGCCTCCGAAACACCTTTCGGTCACGCTGGTCGTCACCCGGTACTCCTAGAACAATTCCGAACTCCAATACCCTTCGTCCAATATATCGATCTTCACCTTCGGACCATTCCGGAGTTCCTCGTCACGTCCGGGATATCATCCGGGACTCTGAACAACCTTCGGTAACCACATACTATTTCCCATAACAACTCTAGCGTCACCGAACCTTAAGTGTGTAGACCCTATGGGTTCGGGAACCATGCAGACATGACCGAGACACCTCTTTGACCAATAACCTATAGCGGGATGTGGATACCCATATTGGCTCCCACATGTTCCACGATGATCTCATCGGATGAACCACGATGTCAAGGATTCAGTCAATCCCGTATACAATTCCCTTTGTCTATCGGTATGTTACTTGCCCGAGATTCGATCATCGGTATCCCAATACCTCGTTCAATCTTGTTACCGGCAAGTCACTTTACTCGTTTCATAATGCATGATCCCGTGACTAACTACTTAGTCACATTGAGCTCATTATGATGATGCATTACTGAGTGGGCCCAGAGATACCTCTTCGTCATACGGAGTGACAAATCCCAGTCTCGATTCGTGCCAACCCAACAGACACTTTTGGAGATACCTGTAGTGCACCTTTACAGCCACTCAGTTACGTTGTGACGTTTGGTACACCCAAAGCATTCCTACAGTATCCGGGAGTTGCACAATCTCATGGTCTAAGGAAATGATAGACATTAGAAAAGCTCTTAGCAAACGAACTACACGATCTTGTGCTATGCTTAGGATTGGGTCTTGGCCATCACATCATTCTCCTAATGATGTGATCCCGTTATCAATGACATCCAATGTCCATGGTCAGGAAACCATAACCATCTATTGATCAATGAGCTAGTCAATTAGAGGCTCACTAGGGACATGTTGTGGTCTATGTATTCACACATGTATTAAGGTTTCCAGTTAATACAATTATAGCATGAATAATAGACAATTATCATGAACAAGGAAATACAATAATAACCATTTTATTATTGCCTCGAGGACATATTTCCAACAACATCCACATCAAACTCTGCCATCACACCCTTTCTGAAACTTTCCTAGTCCACCAGCCAGCAGAGAGCTTGTATGCGTGATACTAGTGAGCTGCATCACCCTCCAAATGCAGTGTGGTCGGAGTAACCTTGAAGTTTTCTAAAATATCATACAGAGCAAAGTAGTCATCACACCCATCTAACCAGATCGGCACCTCTGAACCGTCAAATTTGGGAAAGTTCATCTTCGACATCCAACTTCTTCTAGTAGACGATTGAGGTTCTCCTCCCCGAGTCGTATCTAGTTGATACTTGAAAGTGGTCGGCAAAGGAATCTGTAAGGGAGGAGGAGGGGGACGAGGTGGTGGTGACTGAATAATTCCCTCTTGTCCAGTCGCCCTGGTGATACTGGAACTGTGGTGGACTTGGGTACTATTTTCTCTACCACTTGCTCTTGCCTGACATTCACGATAGAGTTTGTGGCGAGGTTTACCTTTGCCTGCACCACATTGATGTGCACTGTTTGCTCCTCCATCCGGTTGTCCAATGTGTCTAGGCAAGCATAGATCGCGTCGATCCCCTCAATCTTGTCCCCGGTGACTCGAGCTCCTTCATCAGTCCCTCGTCAAATTCCTCCATGGCAGAGATCACTTGCCTTGTCCGAACCAGCGGGCCCATCGTGGGAATTAGGCAGATCGAGCCCAAGGGCGATCCGCAACCTTCCACAGGATCTTACTGCATGATCAAGAGAGTATGGAAGCGCGCACTGATCGGACGAGGCTCTGATACCAACTGCGATGGTCATGGATCGATCGGATCTGGTAGAGGAGGGGTAGGTGAGGCAGAGGTAAGCTTGGGGAAGGAAATAAGGAAAACAAAATCTTAATACGCTTCTTCGATGCCTCATACAGAGTGATGCCCACAGTTTATACCCCACCGCTGCAGCTCAATCTCACGCACTCTACACCACACGCACACCTATCCAACCATATCAGGCCCACCAGTAGAGCGTTGACTCTTCTTCGCCCTCCTAGCCCACTCTTAGCCATCTTCTTCAATATTCTCACTAGGACTCGTCGATATGTTGCCATGGCACTTGTCCCAGTTTCGCTACCATGGCAACTCTTTTCTCTTTCTCTGTCATGGCAGCCCGTTTCGTTTGTCTTGACGATTTCTCATGTCAGGGCCATGTTGGCGCTGACATGACGGAGTAGGGAGAAAGTAGAACGCGCCATGCGGGCAGAGACTAGGGTGGCGGGACAGAGAAACAGCCGGCTCTCACAAAGAGTCAGAAGAACACATTGGACATGGGGGCGATATGGCTTGCATCCCGAATCATGAAGCCAAGGCAAACACGCGGGGCTGTTTGGTTCTAGGCCTTGCATTGCTACATTTTGCCACACATTTTTTATCAAACTTGCCTAATGTTAGTTCAACAAAATGAGGATCACAAATTGGCAAGGCTAAGGAAATCTTGCCACACTTTTTGTATATATTGGCATATGAGGCCCTAGTGTGGTTTAAACCAAACACTCATCTAAGTTGATTAAATTTGTCTAACCTCAGATGTGGCAAATTTTGACAATTTTAGTCACAAACCAAACAGCCCGAAGATGATCGCCGACCCTTTTGGGATTCCCTTTGACCCGTCCTCTTTTGAGTGACCGAAAGACCGAGGAAAATTCGCTGCCATCAAAAGCGACCCATCCATCCATCCACTCCACATGCGATTAGATTCGGAAGACATCAATCAACATCAACAAAGGCATATAAAGTGCTCAAAGGGAGACCACACCAAATAATACAGTACACACGACAAAAATAAATAAATAGAAGTCCATACAAAGAGGAATCGCGCATTGTTTTTTCTTGGTCCAGAGACCCAGGCCGCCCGCAGCCACCGAGAGATCGCCTCGCTTTCGTGCCCCTCGCAAACCTTCTTCCAAATTCCACCAACCTCGAGCCTCCGCCCTATATATCGCCCTCCGGCGCCAATTCGGCGACCCACCAGCCACCTCTGACTCTGAGCGCATCGAACAAAGGAGTCGCGCCCAGTCTTCGCTAGCGGCCAATCACATCAGCGGCCGCCGCAGCAGGAGGCGGGGGATCAGGTGGTGGGGAAACCGCAGCGGCGGCATGGAGAGCTCGACCTCGAGGACGAGCCTGAATTGCATCAGCCTGGCGGACCCCGACACCCAGAGATCGGTCGCGCTCCTCAAGCAGGTTCGTTTCTTGAGCCTCGCGGAGAATCTTGGTCGATGGGCGCATGAACAGCGGAAAGCTTGTTAGAGCAACTTTCTTTCTCCAGAAAGTCGGCCACCGCTCAATTATGCGCCACCTTTTTGGCGCTATTAGCTGTATGCAGAGTTTATTTCATACAAGCATGCTCGTCCATTTTCTAAAGAGAAAACCTGTAAGCTGGTGGGAATCTGCTGGTTCACAAGGCAGGTTAACGATGTTTGTGTTGCAGTCATTATAGAACAGGAAAACAGAGGTGGTTAGAGTCAGTTGGGGCATAAAAGTTAAGCAAAAGCAATGGACTTGACCTCTGCTTTTTTCAGTTGTGGTGGTTATTATTTATTCAACACACTAGTACTCGTCCGATCCATATTACTTTGTCGCAAGTTTGTACTAAACCAACGACAAAGTAATATGAATCGGAGGGAGTACTTGTCATTTGTTAGTTGTTGCTCTGACCTCGTACATGGTCTGTGTCGAGCATTCTCCGTTCGGAAAACAAGGATTGTTAAGGGGTAGTGACCGAGAGTGACCGCCATCTTACAGTTTGTTAAGGTTTATTGTGTTTCAAGAAAAGTTCAATCTTACAGTTGACGGCATTAAAATTTCTATTTATTATATTAGGTGGAGTCTTAGAAATGTGCAGGGGCAAGGCTTGCCTCGTATAATCCTTCCCCTAGACCCCACCCTGCTGGTGTGGGAGCTTCTAGCACGGGGCCCTGTCCATTTAGGTGGAGTCATAGAAATACATATAGAAACTATTTGCAGTAGCGTACGTTTTCAAATAGAATCCTGATTATGCCCGGCTTGACCTCTTGCATATAAAAATTACATATATTCTGAAAAGGGACATGTGTGCTTGTTATTTTGAGAAGATGTCAACAGTAAGACATCAGTTCAGTCAGTATACTGAATTTCTAGTATCATCGTCCCAGTTCTAGAAGTAGATAGCTAAAGTAACCCATGCAGTAAAGATTTCATTTTGGGAATAATAATTTTCTACTTGTGCTGTGAATTTATTTCCAATACCAATGTGCCATGTTTTCTTGCCGCTTACTCCCTTAAATAGCTATAGTTTACTCACCATCCTCTAAAATTTCAGCCATCGAAACTATGGTCTTGCTCTATTATTGCATTACATATCTGGCAGTGCAAGAAATGGACCACTAAGAATGCCATGATGCAACCTTCTTTTATATTTAAGTACTGAGAACATGGTTAATGTGCTGGTAGCTCTGTTTCTTCTAATAGTTTTGGACCATATTTTTCCATAAGCAAATGCTCCATATTTTTTTCTTAGGCATGCTTGGATTCAGGCTTCTTCTATGTGCTGGATCATGGGATAAGCCAGGAATTCATGGATGAGGTTTTTGCCGAAAGCAAGAAGTTCTTTGAACTTCCAAACAGTGAGAAAATGAAGCTTCTCCGAAATGAGAAGAATCGAGGGTATACACCTATGCTAGATGAGATTCTTGATCCAGAAAACCAAGTGAATGGTAATCGACTTCCACATGTGTTGCTACTTGCTACACTTAAGTTCACCTTTCTTGAGTCACCAGCATCATACAAGCAAACATCACTGCAAGAGGGGTTTCTTACAATTAACACTTATGTCCTCTTTAGGTGACTACAAGGAAGGGTATTATATTGGTGTTGAGGTACCTGCAGAGGACCCACAGTCAAATAGACCATTTTATGGTCCAAACCAGTGGCCTCCTGAAGGTATTTTATCTCTGTTTTCAAGTTATTTTTTTACTAAAGCACCTCTTCCGAAAACTGAATGATCAATCAATAGCAGGACATCTACAATATGCTTGTAGCTAGGTAATGTACTATAGGTTCTATTAACATTGTACTGTTGGTGTTTGGCACCTAAAAGTAACTCCTACATGGTCCTTTTTACTTGTTTCACATGTAATTCTCTTGTTGCTCTCACAGAAGTATTGCCCAAATGGAGGGAGGTGATGGAGCAATATCACAGGGAAGCATTGTAAGTAAAAAAAAACTAGTTTATATTGCTTGGTTTTAAATTCAAGATTTCAAAGTGGTAAATGATTATCCATAAAGTTGTAACTGACTTAATGTGAATGAATAACTAGCATACATGAGTCATGTAAACCTGAGTTTGCAGCCAAAGAAAATAGCTTCCAAGTATTCATGCAAATGCCCTTTTGGATTTTTGTTGTAGCCTCTGGTGAATGAGGTTTTATTTGTTGGATCAGAGGTGAACTGTATTCTTAGTTGCCTGCTTTCTATCGGTTTCAGGAGAGTAGCCAAATCAGTTGCAAGGATCATTGCTCTTGCTTTGAACCTAGACGAGGACTTCTTTGATAGGCCTGAAATGCTTGGCGATTCGATAGCCACATTAAGGCTCTTGCACTATGAAGGTGGACAAAAAACAGGTCATGCTTTCGTGTCAAATGATATTTATCCAGCATGAATCATGATGAATTCTTCCATTTGATGTTCTTTTTGTCATCAGGTCAAGTGTCAAATCCTTCTAAGGGAGTTTATGGAGCTGGTGCACATTCGGATTATGGCCTGATCACTCTCTTAGCAACTGATGATGTAGTTGGTCTCCAAGTAAAGCATCTTGAAACATGGCCTTTTCTTGTATTTGTTTTTACATTTTCTTAACTGGGATTTGCCATCTGAATTCTGCAGATTTGCAAGGACAGGAATGCTCAGCCTCAAGTATGGGAATATGTAGCTCCTGTGAAAGGGTTAGCCTGTTAATCTGATTAGATTTATGTCTCGTTCTTGATTGATGGGAATGGCGCGAAATTTACCTCTTAATCATAAGTTAAAAACCCTCACTCTTTTGGTCTTTGTTTCGCAGCGGCTTTATTGTCAATCTTGGTGATATGCTCGAACGCTGGAGTAACTCCATTTTCAGGTTTGTGAATCTATCTCTTAAAGTATGTTCTTAGTTCTAATTGGCATTTTGATATCGTGCTTGCAGACCAAACTGTGTATTCAGGGTAACTTGGATGACATAAATGGATTTTGTGGTTTGGTTATTATTTTTATATTTACTTATGATACAATAATCATTTCCACAATTGTAGGTCAACTTTACATCGAGTGGTCCTTGATGGGCAGGAGCGTTACTCCGTAAGTTTCTTCTTGTGTAAATATGTGAAAAACATCTATTTTTCCGTGCGTGACAAACGCTGAACCAGTGAAAGCATGTCTTAGTTAATTTTCCAAGATAACACAAAGCTCTTCTTTTTCAGCTGTATGTGATTTAAGGCAACCAGCATTGTGCCATAAAAAAAGGTTGATTTTAATCGTGCTGTTTATTCCTTTATTGAAACAGATTGCCTTCTTCGTGGAACCAAGCCACGACTGCGTAGTCGAGTGCCTGCCAACCTGCAAATCCGAGACGAATCCGCCAAAGTAAGTTCTAAATCCTACCAACAATGACTAAAGTTGATCACTTATCCATCTCATCAGCCCAGGCATACACACCAACTCTAAAGGTTTGCCGTCTCGCTGTCTGATCAGGTTCCCCCCAATCACTTGCTCGGCGTACCTATCCCAGCGCTACAAGGACACACACGCAGATCTGAGCACTTACAGCGACGGCAAAGCCTGAAAGAAGAAGCTCTGGTTTTTGCCCTGTTCCTTTTTTTGCCTTCCCATCTATCTAGTATGACGTGTAATGTTGCGAGTGGCAATAAGAATGCCCTTAGCAAGGAGGATGGTAATGTTGTACTGCTAATGTGCTAATATCAGTGTAACCATAGCTGTGGAGATGTCACTCATTGTTCATGTAGACATGAACAACATGAACAATGGTTGCCTTCTTTCTGAATGTGTACAAGTTCCGAAGTTTATTGCTCACCGTGGCCTTGTCTTTCTGAGTTTTTGGGATGATAATCTTGGCGTCTACATCAGCATTATATGTTTTTTCTTTCCGAGTTTTTGGGATGATAATCTTGGCGTCTACATCAACATTATACCATACCATTTTTGTGAAGATATCGTATGTGGTGCTAAGTTGCTGCCCGTGGCGAAATCTGATCTGCAGAATTATCTTTGCTTCCAAATGACACGGCTCATACAGAAGCGGGGCACACCGCAGTCAACAACACTCGGTAGACACGGCAGAGTTTTCCTTGCCGTGTGGCTTCGGACGGTGCTGCCCGTGGTGCAAGTTGTACCTTTCAGCAAACTGAAATTGTACTTTTCTAAATGGATGAAGTCTTAAGAATATCTGGTGGCTCGGTGGCAAATCTCAGTTGTTGTTTTTCTAACACAGTTACAACAGATGTTCACATATACACATACATTCACTCATATAAACGCACGTGTGAACACCCTATCCCTATGAGTACCTCCGAGATACCGAGCCAATATAAGAGCATTTTTAGCAGACCCTTAAAACGGGGCGGCTTGTAAAATTCTGACGACTATACGGGTTTGGCCCTTTTTGGGCTAGACCAGCGGCCGTATA